TGTGACATAAATTCTTTTTCTACTTTTCGATTAAAATAAATTGAGTTAAAAATGATTCTATGTGATTGAGGTTAAAGCACCGGGTATGAGAAGCCTTTTTTGGGTTTGTCGGATTGTGGTGTTGCATTCGAATTTTTGTGTATTATTATTGGTTATTAGGATATGAAGTTAACACATTAATGCAACTTAAATATGTTATGTTACTTTTTTTTTTAACAATGAAGGAACCCGCAGCCAACCATATAGGTGCACTTGGTGAATATACATTTTTTTTATAATAGTTCGCAAACCATACGGAAGACGTAAACCACACTAAGCTAACATTTGTGACAAACTCCACCTAATATAGATTATATATTTGTGACAAACTCCACCTAATATAGATTATAATGTTTGAAGCTTTGGGGGTTAAGTATAGTTCTGAATGGTATTGTTATGCATCAAACTGGAGGTCTAATTCATGCTAGACTTGGGCATAGTTCACATTTGGCCTAAACTTTTGGGTTAGAAGATATTGGATTAATTTTCTATTGATTAACTAATTATTTAATTAGTAAGATGTTCATTTCCTTAGGTTAGATATTGGGGAGGGCAGTGCACACGCGATTGGGGCTGTTAAGCCACGCGGCGCGCGTTTGACCACGCGTTTGGGGCTGCATCCAGGGCGTGTGGGTAGGGCAGTTTCGGGCGTTTTCGGGAGGCAACAACGTGCTGCTACTTGGAGTGATAATTTGGTATTGAATGTTTATATTTGTAATACTATCGATGAGGTTGGTACTAGTAGGCGACGTCTTAGATCCTAATTTGTAGATTTTGGGAGTGATGGTGAAGAATCACTTAAGTCAAGTTCGTCCAATGAGTCTAAGGGACTAAGCAAGTTGTCACTCGTGGGAGTTGTGACGTGGGATAGCGATGTTGGGCGAGTTATCTCCTCGTGGGAGTTGTTCCGCCTTTGCGGCGCGGGTGGGATGGATGAGGGTATCATCCGAATGGAGCCAAGCATTCTCGATGAGGGAGAAAAAGTAGAGGAGGTCGATTAGCACAAATGTAGAGAATGATGTTGATGTAGATGGTATTTCCAGATCGTCATACTTGGAGTAGATGTGTATGTCCACTACTTTTCGTTTGGGGTTGATATTGTTTGATATCATTGGTTTGCCACGTTGCTTGTATGTGTATACATTTAGCATTGTGCGTGATGTACTTGACGAGGGGATCAGTCTCTCAAGATGTTTTTATGGGGATCGTGCCCCTTGTTAGACCTCATAGGTCGTAAGTATGTTAGGACCGTGGCCACATTTTAAATGTAGGACCCGATAAAAACATGTATAAAAGTTTGAAATCAAACTGGCTATGCTATATAGATCATCATAACATCTCTAATTGTTCTCATGGTTAATATTGACTTGAGCTGATAATTTTGTAGTGAAAGAGCAATAACTCCGAGAGTAAGGGAAAAACTTGTTTATTCATTGATTGAAGGCGAAGAGAAATAATCATGTAGGGAGTGAATCGCTCGAAATAACTAAAGCCGCGCTGGGAAACACGTGCGCATCGAAGAATCTTCGGCCCTCACTCCTCCCAAGAGGAAAAGAGATGAAGATCACGTCGACACCCGCCAACGAGATGACCGACGACAATTGTCAAACGACGTGTGTGCCTCTCGGTAATCCATAGGCACTGACTTCATAGTGGTAATTTTATTTCCTTGTACTCATTTTGTTTTTACTATTGGACATATTTATTTTGTATGACTCTTTTATTTTCTAGAACTCCTTTTGTTTTTGTCTATATGTTTTTAAGATTGTACACTATTTTAGTGTGTTAATTAGATAAAAATATGCAATGATTAATTTAATACCAATGGAGAAAATATATAAAATATAATAAATTAAGTACTAATAACATACTAATGAATTTAGTTTGAATTGTTTTATTTTGTAAAAAAAAATCTGAAAATATTAAAATATTAATATTAAAATATAAATATTAATATTTAAATATAAATATTAAAATATTAATATTAAAATATAAATATTAAAATATTAAAATATTTAAAAAATACAGGAGACGCGCCTCCTACCGGTGCCGTCGTTGGTGTGGCGCCTCCCGCCGGTACTGCCGTGAAAAGAGGCGCTCAACTCCAATTCGTTTACAACTTACAAAACAACACCATTTTAAAAACTCTTTTCCAAAACAACACTAGAAAAAGAATTGCCCCTTCTAATGTGTTTAGTTCTTCAATTGATTTTTTTTTTATCATCCATATATTGATATCGTAATTAGCACGTGACTTTATTTTTTTATTCAATACTTATTTATCTATGAATTACTTAAAAAAATAATAAACTATAGTAGAATCTCGATAAATTAATACTTAATAAATTAATAATCTTGATTAAATAATAGTTTCTCTCGATCTCAACTGGGTGCAAACGTATTAAATTATTAACTCGATAATTTAGTAATTCTAGCTGGATTAATAGAATTTTCCTAATTCATGCTGTATTAATTTATAATAGATGTTTAACTGCATAATTAAATCTTAAAATTTCTACTCGCTCTGATCTTAGGGGTATTTCTAGTTATTTAAGAATTTCCGAAATTTATATAAATGCGGAATGATGATAAGTTAGCCGTTGAAGGCTTGTCTTCTTTTCAATTTCCTGTGGCTGAAAAATGAAGAAACCATAGCTCTTTAAATTGGTACCAAAACTCATTCATTCATCCACAGAAAGGCGTTGTTACTATTCTCCCCCAACCACCCCCGCTCCGCCGCTCCTCCGCCGCAGTTAAATGGCGGCAACCGCGGACTTCCGCCGCCTCAAATTCGTTTCATCCGGAAACACTCCCAACCGCCGCCCCTACGCCACTAATTTTACTGCCCCAATTTCATTTAGCGTAAACAAATTCGAATTTCAATTCCACCCTAGAAATTACTTATCCTCCGGTAAATTCGATTTTTTGCACCACAAACGGCGTCGTAGTAGGTTGGGGGTCTGCTGCCAGGCCGCCGGCGCTGGTGTTCAACCCCGTTCTGCCGCTTCCGAAAAGGACCTTGCACTCACCGCTCGTGCGGGCAAAGACCGCCTATTGAAGGTCGATAATTCAATTTTGAACTATTAGGGTGTAATTGATTACTATCTCACTCAGACTAATATATGTGCTATTCTTCTGATTGTACGTATATGTGAGTATCGAGAGTTTAGGTGGCTTCGTCGAATATAAGGAACTTCTGCATTATAGCACACATTGACCACGGAAAATCGACACTGGCGGACAAGCTGCTTCAGATGACCGGGACAGTAGAAAACAGAGATATGAAGGAGCAGTTTCTCGATAATATGGACTTGGAGAGAGAAAGAGGCATCACCATCAAATTACAGGTCATCGGTATTATAAGTTCGAAGAAAATCATTTCGTATGTGTACATAAAGTATGTGCTAACTGCTTTGTTGCCAAATGCCAAATTAAGATGAATATATGGAGAAAATTGTTTATTAGCTGCGTGTTAGTCAGCACATGTATGTTGTTTATGTTTCGTCATAGCGTACAAAATGCATGTGACATAGTAAAGAATTTATTCGACATGTAATAGTTGAAAAGTTATGGCTTTAACTCTTCATGTACTCAAATTAGATGCAGCCGAATTAAGTCGTTGTAGAACTTATATGGCATGAAGACTTGTATAAAGTTGTTTTATATTGACTTGGGGAATACATTTAGGAACTACTAAAGGTTACTTGTGAATAGGGAAAAAATGACACTTGAGTAGAACTTAGTTTTCTTTCTTGCAAGGGATATCATGTAACTTCAATAGTTTCAAGGATTTTATGTGTCAAGCTAAGGTATCACAACCTAAAAGGCCATCCTATTTGATGAAAGAAAGCGAAGAAAAAATAAAATAATTGCAATCAATAGTTGTAATAAATTGTTCGATTGGATCTCAATCCAAATCTTGATCTAGCTACAAGCATGAACTTTCTTTTTAAATATGGAAAGAAAAAATGTTAAAAACCAGGGTAGCTTGAAATCTATCTTTACCTACTAGCACTAGCATGTTGCATACACTGTCTCCTATGGTTGGTTTTCGTGATGCTCGCCTGCATTCTCACATAGTGCAAACTTGAGAATCTACAATATCATTTTTTGTCATCTAAAATTTTCTCTATTTCATTGTAATAAGTTTACTTTTCATTTGTCTCCCTGTAACTTAGAATTCCAAATTTTCTATATGATGAGTAAAATCTAAAGTATGAACCCTCAACTGAGTCTGTTGTTTTCATTGTGATATTTTAGAAGAGTCATTATTGAGTTTTGGATTTTTTTTTTTTTTTTTTTTTTTTTTGTTTTTTGTATAGGCTGCAAGGATGCGTTTTATGTATAACAATGAACCATATTGCCTGAATCTTATTGATACACCTGGTCATGTTGACTTCTCCTATGAGGTATGTTTCTGAAACAATCAAAGAATAGTTGTCACTCAGTTGTCTGATAAAAAATGGTGTTGATTTCAATATATTCTTATAATCTTAGGATAAGCTAACATTTTATTTAGTCTGACAAACCATCTCACAAGATAAAAGTATGCTCTTTCTCTGCAGTTGAATGTTTTGAACTGTGGTTAACTTTTTAATGATAACTCTGTATTTTACTTGTTATAATATCATGATCTCGTATCAATTTTAGGTTTCGCGCTCTCTTGCCGCCTGTGAGGGTGCTCTTCTTGTTGTAGATGCCTCCCAGGTACTTCTGCATTCTTTTCTATTTACCGAAATCATTTTTTGCACCAGTCATGCTGTTTATGGATGAGTTCGTGAATAGTATACTTTATCATTAGTAACTTCAAAATGTGATAGTTATTATTCCAAATTCCCAATTGAAATATTTTCTAATCTTGTAATAGTTAGTTGTTGTGATCGGGGTTTAACCTTATTTTTCAGGGAGTGGAGGCCCAAACATTGGCTAATGTTTATTTGGCCTTGGAAAACAACCTTGAAATTATTCCAGTAAGTTTCTGAACCTAGAATCACTTTTGAGTACATTATTCTGTTCAGATTTTACTGTTTTGAAGTATGCTAAGGGCCCTTGGGAGTTTAATTAAGTTGTAGAAACATAGCACATGCTTTAGAGAAGCACACGTGTCAAAAGTGCTGATTTATCTGCATGTTTAGCATATGAACAAAATAACTGTAGGTTATGGTTAAGTAAACCATAAAAATCCAACATAATCAGAAATCAGAAGTAAAATGAAATTTTTCTTTACTGAAAAATAAAGGAGGGAGGGAGTTACTTAGCAAAAAATCGTAATCCAGAATGAAAAAAAAAAAGAGACTGAAAAGAAAATGGTAGTTGTTTAAAGAAAAGTAATCGTAAAAGAGGATACATGGCATACTATGGAGTAAGAGTCATGACCCACTGACTCTTAATCTAATAAATAGTCGAATCTGTGGACATGTTTAGACTCATGATCCAGAATTCCGGATGTGATTTTATGTTTTTCTGGGATTTTCGGTCGGCAATGTTAGCATCTGAGTGTTTGTATTCTTGCATTGTTAAATTATCTTTGAGTGATTTTATTTATCGAGAAGTGGCGCAACTGGAACTTCATATAACCAGGAAACTGTAACTTAGTACGACCTATGTTGCTTATTCTTCATGATAAAACTTTATATCTATTTCCGTCTTGTATTACTTTAAATAGTTAGCTGCTTATGGGTTTTTCAGTTGTTCGAGTCATTTCCAATCTTCAGGTTCTGAACAAGATAGATCTTCCAGGTGCTGAGCCAGAACGTGTTTGCAGAGAGATAGAAGAGGTTGGTTTATATAGATGTGTTGAACTTCTCGCCATGCGATATTTATTAATATTTTATTTTCACTGATTAAGTTTTTCTGCCTTGTGATCCTGTATCTGTCTTCAATCTTCATAGGTCGTCGGTCTTGATTGTAGCGATGCAATTTACTGCTCGGCAAAGGTTGGTACTCTTTCCCCAATTTCTCCTTGCCCGTTAATATATTCCAAAGTAAATGTAAACCATGTAAATTCAAACCATATTTTATCTAGCCTTTTATGTTTTAATTTCCTTATGATAAAGTGGAAAGTGACGTGTGATTTTGTAATTAGAAATTCGATGTAGCAAATGTACTAATATCAAAGATTTGGTTTTGTAGGAAGGAATAGGTATCAACGAAATCCTAAATGCAATAGTTCAAAAGATCCCCCCACCTAAGGATAATGCAGAAAAGCCCTTGAGGGCTCTCATATTTGATAGGTATCTGATCTAGGTACTATGATCAAACTCCTTAAAGTTAACTTTGCATATCTATATGTATATATACTCATGTTATATTCTTGCAGGATCTTACAGTATCAAACTTCTTAAAGTTATGCATATTCGTTTATATGTTATTTCATGTTTTGACATATTTGATCTTTTCCTTGCAATGGTGTCTTTGCTTGCTTTGATCTTATTTTTCTGCGAATGAAATTCTCATATTTCTGAAGCAAATTTTCCATATTGATTATTGAAATTCTATGTAAGCTCATATATGAATTTGTAACTCTCGAAGAACCCTGATGTTTTCTTGCTTAGGTTATGCATCACTTTAGGGCTACTGATTGCATTTGGTTTCAAATTGTTTTGCAGTTACTATGATGCTTACCGAGGTGTCATTGTATATTTCCGACTTATTGATGGGACGTTAAAGAAAGGTGACAGGATAATGTTTATGGCCAGTCAAAAGGTACAGCAATATGGCCTTGTAACAGTTTCATGACCACATTTTGTTCATTGGTTTTTCTTTGAGCAATTTCCAATGTTCCAGTTTTGCAGATATTTTAATATCTTGAAAGGACATAGATAAATACATAAATATATAGATGTGTAGATGTTCCTTCTTATATCCAAAACTCTTATGTCACTATACTTACTAATTACAAGTTTTCTTTCATGGGGGTATAGTTATCACCTTTTAAGCGGTAATTATTTTTCTTTTAGATCGTACCTGGATTCGTTGGGTCACGTAGAAGCTACACTCGGTGAAATACACTAGGTGGTTTTACACCATAGATGTACACACAATCACACACAAATACATGTGGATGTGTGCAAAGTGGGTAGTTATCAATACTCGTGTAAGGTGAAATTTTACCCGGTGAAGTTAACTGGGTGTAGCATCAAACAAACCGTATTATTGGTAAATTATCTGCCAAATTTTTTTCTTAAGTTGGGAAATTTGATTTTAAAACATATAGGGCTGTCGATGGGTTGAACTCACAAACTAAGTTTAACATTTAAAATTCCCATCCAATTACTGTCCTTGAAATCTGAGTATGATTGTAGATCCAATCTGATCAATGTATGTCGATTCTGAGTCTTTAAGTGGAACACAGCATGTTAAGTCTGATCAATGTATGATGATAATTGATAGTGGGTCCGATTCGAATTTTGTTTTAACAAGATTTGTGCGGACATATTTAAAATTGGTGAGGTTTTATGAATATCAGTAGTAAGATTTAGGTCCAAAAAGGGGTTTTATAAGATCTGCTAAAAACTGTAATTAGGTATATAAGATGCAATCTTTTTTTTATAATCCCCGTTTACTAACCTGGGAATTTTAAAATGCAGGATTATTATGCAGATGAAGTTGGATTTTTATCTCCCAACCAGTTGCAGGTTGATCAGTTATATGCTGGAGAGGTGGGAACACTCTCTAAACCTGGCTTTGTACTAAGTGAATATTTTTATTTTGGTTGTCGAGGATTGGGCCTTTACAGTTGTTCACTGTTTTGGTTTCACTATTCAGCCTCAAAGTTCTAATTTCCAGGGTGAACAATCTAAATTATGTTAATATTTTATCCTTGCTGTCACACAGTCCTCAAAAAACTCGAGAGAAATAATTAAAATGATATATTCACACGTCGTGGTTAAAGGAGTTTTTCGGTGAAGGACTAGAAGGTTTCTTATCTAGGTTAAAAAAGAAACCGCTCATCCTATTGCGTAATATAAATAGTGATGAACATGTTATGTTAGTCACCATTTATTACTTTTCTTTGTGCATTTCCATTTCTTCGTAAGTCATTCTGTGTTTATTCTGTGTTACCTGCAGTATTTACAAGTTTCAGTAATTTTTAGGTAGGTTATCTTTCAGCTTCCATACGATCAGTGGCAGATGCTAGGGTTGGTGATACTATTACACATCACGGTAGAAAGGCAGAAAAATCGCTTCCCGGATATAAGGAGGTTACACCGATGGTTTTCTGTGGCCTGTTTCCTGTTGATGCTGACCAGTATATATCTGTTTCATCTTCTTCTTTTGTTCTTCACTAAATGTACCGATGAAAGCGGTGAATTAAAATGTTTGTTGAACCTTTTTGTAGGTTCCAAGAGTTGCGTGATGCTTTAGAGAAATTGCAACTTAATGATGCTGCTCTAAAGGTAGGAGTACTTCTCTTAGTGGCTTTTTCTTTACATGGTTGCCTCAACTCCAAATTCATTACCGCCGTCGTCCACAAACTTATAGGGTACCTACAAAATATTAAGAAATATTAGTATATTGAAAATTCTGAATCGTATGATAAAAAAACAACTACAGTACTTAATTAATACTAATGAAATTTACCTTGTAATATTTGTATTTTGCTAGCATTTCTCTGGATGGAAGCGTCAATTATCGAAATGCTTCGTAAAAATAAAGGATTTAAGAGGAAGAATTAATCGCCCATGTCTACTCATAGAACTTGAGAAGAAAATAGGTGGAGGAATCATGGAAAGAAGAAATTTAGAGGAATCTAATATGGAAATTGGATTACACTAGTTGAGAAATGATTTCACCAATATGAAATGACTAGTGTATGAGAATTGAAATTCTTGAGAGAATTAAGACTTCAGAAAGTTGAGAGCTTAAAGAAAATTATTGTGAATTGGTGAAAAAAATGGTTAAAAGTATTAAAGGTGGTTTTAATGAATCTAGGAAATGAACTAAAATAATATCGCGCCAGTTAACTGCAGGTTCAAACTAACCCACCGGTTCAGCATATGAGCAATGGTCATTTAATCGTGGCCGTTGATTTGTAATGGACATTTTTTTTACCATCCAAGGTCTTAGATAATGACGCTGAATGCAACAAAAATACAATGCCTTTACTAGATACATTCTGCAAATTTATAGTGCGTGCATTATTCTCTGGAGATAGCATCAGTTTTAAGTTTCCATACGCTTGGCAACTCATCTGATTGATATACTTAATGGGAAAAATTTACCAACTGCAATTTTTTTTACAGTTTGAGCCAGAGACCTCAAGTGCCATGGGATTTGGCTTTAGATGTGGGTTTCTTGGTCTTCTTCATATGGAAATTGTTCAGGTTGGAATTTTTTTTTAACTTTTTTTTGACTTTCAATCTTCGTTATAATTTCTAGCATTTCCCGAATCATGATAACTTCTGTTTTGCAGGAAAGACTGGAACGCGAGTACAATTTGAGTCTGATAACCACAGCCCCAAGTGTGGTTTACAAAGTCATTTGCGTAAATGGTGATACTGTAATTTCTTCTAATCCTATTCTCGTTAAATTTATTAATTTTGCATTTAGATTCTTGAGTGCAGACTCTACTTTAGACACGGATCATGGACACTGTTAACTGGTTATTTCCAATCATTTTTTTGCTGAGGGACGCATTGGTTACAATTAGAAGCCGAGTTCATAAATTCATCTTCATGTAATTTGCAAATATATGAACTGAATATTACTGGAGTTTATTTTCTCGAGAGAATGCTTTATAAGTTTGTGCTGATTGTTAAGTTGCTGAATAGATAAACGAGAATATAACGACGTCTGACCTAATCAGCAGCTATCAGAAGTCTGAAAATAGTTCAGTACTTCAAGTTGTTTTTTCTTTGTTGGTTGTTCTAACCATTTCTACATCATTTATTCTTCTGTATGCATTGATTTGATCGTGTGCCACTGGTTCAATAAGACATTGTTTGTACATCATTTCCTTCATCTGTATGTTTTTCTTATCTAGGTTCAATGTTCGAATCCATCCTTACTTCCTGAAGCTGGAATCCGAAAGTCAATTGAAGAGCCATATGTTAAGGTTGTCTAGCGTAGCTCGCCTTTTATTCGACCTACAGCACAATTTTCTTTTTACTGCTTGATGATGTAAATAAATGTTTCATGTACAGATTGAGTTGCTCACGCCAAAAGAATACATTGGTGCACTTATGGAGCTTGCCCAGGATCGGAGAGGTGAATTTAAAGAACTTAAGTTCATTACTGAGATCAGAGCATCGATTATCTACGAGTTACCCCTGGCTGAGGTATTACTTTACGAGGCTGATAAATAGCTTTTCGTTGAAAGTTATAGGAAGTAGTACATTATATCCGATCTGCCAATCATAATCAAGAAATTTGTTTGTACATAGATGGTAGGCGACTTCTTTGATCAGCTAAAGTCTAGGAGTAAAGGCTATGCTAGCATGGAGTATTCCTTTATTGGGTAAGTCCATCAAATCTACCTTATGACTGTTATTGTATGAATTCTTAGAAAAACGAAAATTGCTGTTATTTTTGTCATCAAACAGATATCGTTCGTTCAATATGTTCTAGAACAAGGCGAGTGTTGTCCGGATAAATTACCCCCGTTTACTTTTCTGTATAATCGTTCGGCTCCATGATATTTTGTATGATTTTATTTGGTTCTTCCGTTAGAATGTTTTCGGTAACCATGGTTTTCCCCTTGGAGACTCTTTATAAAAAATCGTAAACGAGAATCTCTTGTATGTTGCACTAAGTTTGTTTGAATTTCATCGACAGGTACAAACAGAGCGACTTGATAAAGCTTGACATTCAAATCAATGGGGAACCGGTGGAGCCTTTATCAACTATAGTGCACAAAGACAAGGTTCTGTTGACTTCTTCATTTGACTCATCTCGGTCAACCTCGCTTATGTTTATTTAGACTCCGGTTCACACTTGTGTTCCTCTTTGTAAGCTGAAATGAAAACATTTTTCCCCCCTTCATCAGTCTTATGCTATTGGAAGGGCGCTTACTCAAAAACTGAAGGAACTAATACCCAGACAAATGTTTAAAGTGCCAATTCAGGTAAGCTTCACACATTTCTATACCCGCGCTATATCTTCAAGCTGGAAAAGCTCTCACATTAGACACTTTTGTCTTTTCCCGATTGACTGACAGGCATGCATAGGCACCAAAGTGATTGCTAGTGAAGCTTTGTCTGCAATCAGGAAGGATGTTACTGCCAAATGCTACGGTGAGATTCTCACTCCTAAGGCCTCGTTTGGTTCCTAATATAAAATTAGCCCAGATAAGATTAAATAATCTAATGAAAACCCAATTGTATTATTCGACCATAGGAGGTCAAATGAATAATCTCCCTAAAAGGCAACGTAAGCCCATGATAAAATAATATTTCCAGGTCGACCCTGAAAATTATTGGGTTTACGAAACATCAAACAAAGTCCAATTATTTAGTTAATCTTGGTTAATGTCCCCAACCAAACGAGGCCATGTATATGAGCTGTTCCCCTTGATCATGTACTTGTAAAATATACGATAGCATTTTAATGATCTTTTCCATCTCTGGACATTGTGCCTTCCTAATGAGGTTTTTTTTTTCTTTTTTTTTTCAATTGACAATTTTAATTGAGGTACTTTCTTCTTTGATACAACACGATTAGAATGTTTCGTCTATTTTTCACTTTCAAGGTTTTGTACGTAATCGGCTTTTCCTTGGTCTCTCATGTAGGTGGAGACATCACAAGAAAAAAGAAGCTACTGAAGAAACAGGTGAACTATATTTGCTGTACACACACACACACACACACACACACACACACACACACACACACACACACATATCTACTTATTTATTAACACAACAATTTATGTATTACTTTGTTTGACTTGTTATACACCAAAATAGGCCGAGGGAAAGAAAAGAATGAAGGCAATCGGTAAGGTTGATGTACCCCAAGAAGCATTTATGGCTGTATTGAAACTGGAAAAAGAGGTACTGTAATTTGCACCCGTAAATAGAAGAAAAAAAGATTTAAGTTATATCAAACCAATTTTTCTTCGATGAAAAAAAGACGAATCTATACACCGAAAAAGGGTAGAAGCTCTAACTCCTGTATCTCGGTCTTACGGGAAGAAATATTTAAATGGGGTGTTGTAAAAATTGATAATTGACCTCGAGAAAGAGTACGATCATGTACTTGTGCTCGTTGGTTGGATTCTGTTAATAAAATCACGTGATTGTCCAGTTTTGTCACATCAATCTGTTCTGTATTTGTGAAACATTGAATTCTGCGTTGATCATATTATTTGTTTCTTGGCATTCAAATTATTTTGCATGCTTATTTTGGTAATCTTAGCACCGTAAAATATGGATTCTTGCTAGCTGAATATTTTGTAGTTTGTCTTTCCAATAATCCGATTCATTATGTGAAAACGCGAATAGTTCATACTACTAAACATAAGAGTAGTTCGTTAAAACAGTTAAAAAACAATAATGGGACGGAACAAAAAATCATCGTTCCTTTGCATCTTCGTGCTGAATCCTGGAATCCAAATATAAAATGATCGTACGTTTGCTTAAACAAAGGCAAAGTACAAGATGAGATAAGGTCCCATATTGAAACAAAACATTGGATTCGATCAAATCTCGATATGACATATTGCAGTCTGAGCGGTTGTTGAGCTGACTCATGAATATGATTGTCACCAACAAAATACAAAACTATGGAAATATGATCATATTACTGCACGAAACGAACCTGAAGGGCATCATTGCCCAAACTTTCTTGTTCCTCTTGAATCCGTTTGGCCGATTCCACGAGATATTTGTTCCTCATCTCGACCTCAATCAATTCAAGCGTCGCGATTTCTCCAATGCCGTCTGGAATCTCTCTCAGATACCGACAACGACGAATCACCAGCCACTTTAGATTCGGGAAGTGGCTGCTTTCGGTTATCCAATTTCGAAGATCCGATTCCTCGATCATCAAAAAATTCAGCTCGAGAAATTCTCCTTCAATCGTTTCCCACGTGTCGCCTACGCAGGCCGATTCTCTCAGTTTAAGCACTTGAAGATTAGGCAACGAACCAACGATTGTCATATCTTTCCAAGGCAGTCTCCATCCACTCAACGTCAATTTCCTTAGTTTCATAGGAAAAACGGGAAAATGAAGCTTCACCGGAGAAGGAAAATCGGATTCTACCACAAATTTCAACTTTTCGAGTTGATGAAGATACACAAGATTCTCGAGACAATAGTGTTCTATATCTTCATAAGGTTTATCGCTCGTACAAAAAGCAAGTCCTAGTTTCTTGAGGTTCGGGATCATTTTTATGATCCTTTCAACACATACGAAATTCGTTAATGACGAAAGGGTTTGCAGATTCTCTAAACCACAAGTTGCCGATCCTTCTGGATCGGGCAATTGTCCAATGTAGAAGCAAAAAATATGCCTTAGTTTAGGCATCCTCCAAATGTCCAAAGGCAAATTAGTGATGTAATAAGATCTCCTCGATAATGTCTTCCTCGGGCGGATAACTAATGTTTCAAGATTCTTAAGGTTTGTTATGGTTGTTGGAATCTTTGTCGGATAGTCTAAAGCAAGGTACCGTAAATGAAACAACTCGAACAACTGATTAGGCAGTGGCACAAACTCTGAGTAGATATAAGAATTATCGACATCCAACACCCTCAACAATCTAAATTTTAGTGACGAATCTATTGAACTCCCGGATCTTTGATCGAAGTACATAATAGTACGGACAATGCTTGAACGGTAACGAAGATTCGAATAAGAAGTACTCACACGGCGCAAATATTTTACGCTCTCTAAGAAAACGTGCTTATCCACGACTTGCACAAAAAAACTCTCTTGTTGGGCTTTTCTTATGCATAAGTCCCGCACGAGATCGTGGACGCTACAACTCTTGATCCGGCCGTTGGATTTTGTCCCGGTGACCAAAACAAGACTTCTCTTGATGAGATCCAACAAGTACTCTTCGGCAATCTCTTCGAGACTTTTACGTCCAATATCCGGTGGGGGCTTCAAGAAACCCTCGGCTACCCATAATTTGACGAGTTTCGAAACATGGATCTCGTAATCCTCCGGAAAACCTCCCATGTACAAGAAACACGGCCTTAGATGATGTGGCAAGTGGGTGTAACTCAACGACAATATCTTCTCAAATTGGCCGTTGTTGTTCGTGGCAAAAGCCGAGCTCACGTTTCTCATTATTTCACTCCACGAAGCGCGAGTCCTACTTATAGTGGATAGGATCCCTCCGATCACAACAATCGCGAGGGGTAGTCCTCTACAATTTCTGGCAATCTCCTTTCCAATTCTCTCCAGCTCGTGGGGGCAATCCTGGCCCGCGAATACCTTCTTCTGAAGGAGGCTCCAACTTCGATCCGTGTCCATGAAGTGCATCTCGTGAAGAGGGGTAAAAGGGTCCGGATAAGATGCCACATCCGATAGCCTTGTAGTCAACACGATTCGACTCCCGTTGTCGTCGTCGGGGAACATGTTCCTTATATCATCCCATGCCTTTGTACTCCACACGTCATCCATTACTATCAAATATCTCCTACCCTTTAAGCTCTTATACACTTTTTCCGCCATCAATGACATATCCAATTGCCTGCGTTTCTGCGATTCATTGTCATCTTCAGATATTTGCTCCTCCGATTCAATGTTATCTTCTTCAAACCTTTGCTGCTTCGATTCGTTGCTGTCTTCAGATCTTTCTTGGTTGATGAATGTTTTCATGGATACCAAGAGGGCCGAAAGAATTCTTGTCGGACTATAGTCATGTGATACAGAAACCCAAACACGAATGTCAAAGCGTTGCACCATTAGTTGATCATCGTAAGCGTTTCTAGCAAGAGTTGTCTTACCAATACCACCCATACCTATGATAGGAATGACCTGGAGTTTCGATGATTCTCCACAAAGACGAGTCTTAATTTCCATCAAGTCATCGTCGAAACCAACCATATCACCCGCCGTGGTTACAGTTCTTGATGAAGAACCGGGATACCAAGAATCATCGAGCGGAGAATCCTCCATGTTGGAGGTGTTCTTGATTTCCATCGTCGCTTGAGCTATAGACTCTATTTCGTCTATTACTTTTTTCAAGTCGAGAAGCTGATTATTGTACATAGTACGGTTAGTGCCCCTTATACATGGCATGAACTTACATTTCGATGGTTGGATATTCGACTCGATCACCAAACCGTGACGTGCCCGAATTTGTTCGGACATGAAGTGTTCGATGATATCTTCTGCTTCATTAGCTACATCAGCAATTCTCCCTTCCAATCTTTCGGCTTTCTCGACAACATCGTCGAGAAACGCTTGCAAGGAAGTAATGTTTTCGTGGATAAGTGTGATTTGCTGTTTTTCTTGAGGTGAAATGGTGTATTGATCATGATTCAGGATTTGGTCTATGGTTTGTGCAAGTGAAACTAGAGCAGCATAAGCCATTTCTCACCATACAAAGAAGAATTGGGCTTGCTTAGAGAGAGAGAGAGAGAGAGAATGGTTGATAAATATCCAAGTTTCTCACAATTGCTATGAAGCCAAGTTTCTCACAATTGCTATGAAGCCATTATTATCACTATTCAGAAAAAAAAAATAAAAAAATAAAAAAAAAAAAAAAAAGTATGGTATTCGAATAAAGCTTGTGTGAATTTATGCTATTTTGATGACACTTTTGTCTGTCACCACTAACTGTGTGGAAGTATAACTTTATAAGTAGGTCCACTAAAATAATGCAAAATTTCCACATGTGAAGAACAACAGTCTATATATATATATATACACACACACACACACACACACATTGTTCTTTCTTCCCTCTACCATAACTCATTTAAATGTACTTGACAAAATTTGCCTAGTCGTTCCTATGCAATAAAAAAATATGTTCATTTACAAAATGAATCTTCGTCCTGTCATCAATTTTCTCCCATTCTATTTCCTCAGCCAATTTTTTTTAGTGATAAATAGCGATAAAATAAACGGAGAGATAAAAAGAAAAATCGTGATTACACATTAGTTAAACGAGGGCGTTCCGAAGAATGGCAGCATCTTCACCGCACTTTGCGTGGACGGCCTTTATTCTTTCCACCGACTTGCAAATGCCACTGCAGCTCCAATCAAACGACGCCACACAAATGTTACCTGCTTTTGCTTTCCATTCGCATTCTGCGTAATCCCGTTAATTAGTTGATTCTGAGAATTTTCGAAAATTTTCGAAAAAAGACTAATATAAAATTATCAATAAATAAATACCAGGTGAGGTTCCACAGCACATGTTGCGGTCATCAATATGCTCAATGTCAAGTCCGATAAACCAAGCTCCAAGCGACACATCTTCGTTTGCATATTTGTGCAGAATTTTTCTGAAATCACAAGTTAATCGGATTTAAAAAAATTAACACATAAATCAATTGTTAAGTATTCAAACAACTAATTTAATTGGACTTTTCCATGCATAAGTTAAAAGTTATGAAAATAAAACATTAGTTAATATAACTCCATTTTGTCTCGTAGTTTTAAGACCTCTTTTCAGATGTTCATGTTGAAGTGTGTGAGAATATAATCGTACTAGAATTATGTTGTATTATTTATTTTATTTTATTTTTAGATAAGAGGTTTTAAATTGTTCTTACTGATTAACGGAGATGTAATTAGCCAGATCCTTTGATATGGCATATATCTGACCAGTAGCATGTCGAAAATACTTGTTTCCTTCTTCTCCAAACTTCCAATGCTCGGGCTCGTGGTACTTAACATTCCTACAAAAAAAATATATATATATTAAAGGATTGAATTTATATGCGACGTAAATAAAAATAAAGCAGTAAAATAAAAAAAACAATTACTTCTGATAAAGAACTGGCCCAGACTTCATACATCCTATATATACTCCATGCTTAGAGCGATGGCGTGCAAGAGTTGCAGCTAGTGTGCCTGCATTATACTCACTTGTTAATAGATTTAATAATCTTAAAAATAAAATAAAAAATTGAAGAAAGATAAAATAAAAATTTGAAGGAAGTAATAAAGAAAGAAAATGTAATGTACCTAAATTTACATGAACATCATCGTCCACTTTGACATAGAATTCAGCATCCCATCTTTCTACAGCAGCGGCGAAGAATGATTTTGTTTTTGCCGATAATTCATGATATCCTTCTACGTGTTTCTGAGAAAAAATGGTTTTTTTAATTATGAAAATAACTTACGAAAAAAAATTCAGCTACGTAAAATCGAGGAGGGATATATAAGTTCCTTACAAGCCTGAGAAAATCGTGATGCTGTGCTTCCTCAGAGTCGATTGCACGGTCCAAAATGCTGTTCGATGTTGCACTAACCAATATGAAAAACAAAATATCAGTCAAGGTTAATTAATTTACTCACTTCTTTCGACAAATGTGATTAACGAAATATGGATCTTCATTTAACTTTAGCGATTTTCGAACTCCATAAATCACAGTGGAAGCAATGAAAATTATACCTATGTCCGATCATGAAACGAACCACGAAGCCCTTTTCTTTCTCGAGTTGAACTAAACTTTTACCTAATCAAACAATGAGAAATTTATAAGCAAAAAAGATTTTAAAGATTTTTTTATTTTATTTTTTATTTTAATATTGGTATGAATAACTGGTACCTCTAGGCATCCATGTTTCTCTAACAGAATCACGTCTCCTTCGGCTGCTAAAAGCTGTGTTTATACCTATTACCATAAATGCCTTTTTCCTCGCCACATTATTTTCGGAAACGGAAGTTGAATTCTCGAAGTGTCCAATTTTGCGGGATTTTTTATTCGATGGAAGCTCCAACCGTAGTTTAGTAACAGAAGAATCCAAAGTTCTGAAAATGTTAAAAGAAATTAAAGTTGATTGAACTAAAATTGTAACTTAATTAGATTAAATGACTGGAAATTACTCAATCTCTTCCATCGACTATTTTCCATTCTTTTTAGTCAAGAAAATTACCCTTTTTTACGATCTATTTTAACAGGGAAACAAGTTTTACAATATATATATATTTACTCACTGTATTGCATCGTGCGCTTTGCTGAACTCCTTTATCACTTCCTTGTCCCGAATTAGTTTCTACAATAACACCAAAAAAAAAAAAAAAAATTAGATGCATATAAATAGCAATCGAACATTTTTGTACAGAAACAGAACACGATCGAAGGTGAACCTTGTTAGTGTCACAGTCATCGAAGGAAGAAGCTGCGGAATCTCCCACATTACGCCGTATTTCAAGAATCCGATGATCTGATCGAGGAGCAGCCCATATTCTAGAAAATATAAAAATTGATTCACACACATGTAAGCATTAAATCAGTTACTTCTTTGAGGAGAAAATTTTCTATAATCAAATTAAATTTTCAGCATCACAATGATGAATCAGCAACTATTATGTCATCAATTTTTCCAAGAAAAAATAAAAGGAAAGAAAAGGGAAAGAAAATCCCATCATATATACATCATCTCTGTATTGCATTCTGTAATACACAAACAAACACATGCATGAATGAACCATCAATATTCACTTGGGCATAATATCAAACACATAATCTGCAACAAAACACACACACACACACACACACAAAGAATCATTACATAACTTGAGCCTGCTATCAAATACATAATCAGCAACACACACACACACACACACACACACACAAAGAACAATACATAACTTGACAGCAAATACATACAATTAACCTGTAAAACGCGCGCACACACACACACACACACAGAGAACGAACAAACATTACAGAAAGAATGAAAACCTGTTGGTGAAAAGTGCGCCGAGGAAAAAGCTAATGAAACACAGAATTGCAATCCATTTAAGTGAAACCATCGCTCTGCTTCTGTTCTTCGTCCCCATTTTCTTGATTGTACTGAGTACTGATCGAAAAAGCGGAGTTTTCTCGTATTAAAAAAAAAAAGATTAACCCATAAAAAAGATGAACAAATCCCAGCAAAAAAAAGAGCATGGATTTATTAGTCGATCAGTTACAGATAAAGGGACTCGAAAAATGGCGAAGATTGTTGAGATAAAAATGGTGGTTTCATCTGCCTACTTTTCGACGCGTGTGATAAATTTCTTATGTGTTTGGTTTGGTTTGGTTGTTCGTTATTAACTCGATTTCCATTAATGGATTTTGTTGGGGTTAGACGTGATGACTTGGTAGTGGCTTCCATGAACGATTCTTTCAATTATTTTTAGGGAAAATTGCACATCACCCCCTAAAAAATTTCTAATGTTTGCACTTTACCCCCTCAAAATTTTGAGAAGTGAATATCCCCTTCAGAATGTTATTCTTTGTTGCACATTGCTCCCATAGCAAAATTTCGATGGATTATTCATAAGCAAAATGCAACCAAAATAATATTTTGAAGGAGATTATCCAGTTTTTGAATTTTTAGAAGGGAAAGTACAAAAATGAGAAATTTGTATGGGGTGAAGTGCATTTTGTCCTTATTTTCAGGGTTAATAGCATTTCGTCACCTGAACTTTGGCCGTTTTTGCACTTTACCACCTTAACTAATAAAAGTTGCAAATGCACACTCAAATTCAGTTTTTTGACGCACATAACCACCTAAGAGGAATATTCCGGCGAATCTTCTAATTTTCCAGCGCACGTGCGATGCACATGCGAAAGTACAAGGGCTTTTTCGTCTTTTTACCTGAAAATATCATAAGGGGGTGAAATTAAAAGTACTAGGGACTTAATTGAACTTAATTTGAAACTTTCATAAATTCGAAATTAATTGAAGCTTGTGGCTTCATATTCCATGGGATCAAAACACCCACCGCCTGGTCCCGGTGAACAAAGGGGCGCTGCCGTTGGAGAATTCCGGCGGGGCCGGGGGGGTGGGCGTTGGAGAATTCCTCAAACGCTTGTTGATGAGCAGAAGCGCCAACAAAGAGACAACAAATGAGAATTACCGAGAGCAGCGGGTCACTTCCCAATTCAAGTATCCACGCCCACGCCCACTTCAATTCCACCACTTCCTTCATATTTGTCGCTCTCTAGAGGTTTAGTCTTCGATTTGGGCCCCGACAATTCGTGGGAAAGCGTCGAAATCGGTTCGCATATCGCGAAAAGGTACCTCGGCGATCTGGAAGAACAGTGGTACATGCGGTATTTCAGCAGATTCAATCCGATTCAATCGCTTCTGGAGTTGGGTTTTTCGACTCTCTCATCCATGGCGAATTTCAGCAGAT